GCACACGAGGTGCATACATGAGTACGGTTCATTCTTATTGGGAAGCATCAGGAAGGATGGGGTTGCCATAGAAAAAAAGGTTGTTTATAACCACAGAAAACAAGAGGTGGTGGGTTTTGATGCAGCGACTTGCGATACATCAGGAGCATACTGTAAAGCGCACAAAATCAATACTGATTTGGGGTATATCGTCGCCAGTTTTAATGCAGCATATTCACACGAAGACGGCTAGGATGTTTGGAAACGTACACGACCTGGGAGGAATAAAACGTGTGGAGGATCATTGATGCTGTGCGTTTAGGCCCCTGTGTTGTGTTATGCCTCGTCTCTCCTCTAGATCATGCAACTTGTCCCAATCTTTAGTCTTCAAAGTATACTTCAAACGTTGCAATTACTAGAATTACACACACAAAGAAGTTTTGGGCAGATGAACACAAAATACCGTCATTTCAGCAATTCATATATCTTTATATAGACCACTAGGCAGAGACATTTAATTTAACCTTATTCACTATCTACTATGATTTGTATGGGAGGACATCCATTTCCGCGGACAAAACTGCCGGAGAATATGGTTTATGGAATTCAACGAGAAAACGACTACAGTTCTATCATCTGATACAGTACATACGAGAAAATATCAAGAGTGAAGTTAAGATTTGGAATCGAAACACATGGGTCTCTTTGTGACTGGCAGGTTAGCTGTCCCGAAAATAGTACGGCATGGCACAGGAACGAATCGCAACAGACCGCATCTGTATCTAGATTCGAAGTTCGGCCAACAGATCAGGTCACCTGATCAACAACCAGTGGACACACCGGAACTGTATTATTTCGACAAGTTGCCAACATCACTTAAATATATGGTTGTTTGCAACCGACGTTTGCCTAAACAGTGGACTGAATTTCGTGAAAATCGATTTAGTCTAATTTCATTTCATTTCACTGTGGACTGTACATTGAAATCGGAACGGGTGTAAACAGCGGGATTGGAAAGTCGATAGTCGAACGCGGTTAAGTTGTTCCCATACAAGGAACGAAAAGTTTAGGAGGGAAGATAGAATTATGACGTAATATGGACATAATCCCGGTCGCAATCAATGATTACTTGCGTCGAAAGCATTTTCAGTTTGCCTTCGTCATCAACAACACCACGAATAGCAAAATGTCAGCGGTAAAATCTTGTAACTAACTCCTTGCTTGTTTCTTGCGTTTTGCAGAATTTCTTTCTTCAGATCATATGATGCAGCCAGGGCGATTCCATCCTATCCATCCAAAGGACGTGTGTCAAACCAGTTATTATGTTTCAGATTCTATCAAGTGGTTTTGAAGCCTTGGGTGCCTGTCCAGCACACATACCGGGAGGAAAACGATGGCGTCGTAAACTGAGAAGCGCGAATCAGAGAGTTTCCATGTAAAACTACTCGCCTTCGTCTTCATAAGAAAATCATAATCATAGATTGTTCTGAGACCGGAATAAACCATAATTTTCCTGCATGGTTTAGCTTTCTGACATTTACACAATATGAGCGTGTTCATTCATTTTCCAGTCACCTGAAGCATTCAGATTTTCCTGCATGGTTTAGCTTTCTGACATTTACACAATATGAGCGTGTTCATTCATTTTCCAGTCACCTGAAGCATTCAGATTTTCCTGCATGGTTTAGCTTTCTGACATTTACACAATATGAGCGTGTTCATTCATTTTCCAGTCACCTGAAGCATTCAGATTTTCCTGCATGGTTTAGCTTTCTGACATTTACACAATATGAGCGTGTTCATTCATTTTCCAGTCACCTGAAGCATTCAGATTTTCCTGCATGGTTTAGCTTTCTGACATTTACACAATATGAGCGTGTTCATTCATTTTCTCACGTAGAACAATATAAGATCAACTACTAACCTGAAGCTGTCCCATGTGCAACCCAGTGAAACAGGCTGTCTCCCATGTTCGTGTTTTTCAAGCGTGAATGGGCCCGGGGCACTTTCTGGAATTATCTGACAGTAATAGATGAATTGAGAAACATTGATATCTACGAAGTACACGTTATATGGTTACCCGCGAATCTTAGAAACTCAGATTCTTGTAAACAGTTTGAGGTAAGTTGGAGGTGCTGGCGGCGGGGCCTTACCAAGAGACACTGGCCAAGAGAATGCTCACTGAGATTTAAAGCAGCCAAGCTTTGTGTTTGGGATATCCAATGCTTGTCCCGACACCCCCGCAGACGCAAAGGACATACCGGTTAAACCGCAGTCAACAGGGTTTACACGAAAAGGTTTAAGCCCCATGTTGAATCCAACTTGACTTTATGGTAATTCCCCGATTCATTTGTTTAGTCCGCCCATGTACTTTTGATGTCCAGTTGTTTTGCTTGTCCATGCGGCCACTCATCTTGCAACAGAGGCCGTCCTTTCCGACACGCGTGTGTTGGCATGTGTGTCTGTGTGTGAATGTGCGCTGCTGACCTACTTACCCACACGCGTCCATGTCCCGTTATCTGAGTCTGCCTTGGTTTGTTTCCTCATGAGTTCCGTGTGATCGCACGTCCAATGAGAACCACGAGACCGTCGTCGGAAGGGACGACCGCAACCCACGCTACTGAGCCATCATTCCGCTCGCCATTGTTTGGACTGCGGACGTTGACACTGTACTGTGCCAGCCACTGAGAAACCTGTGAACTTGTTGACACGTGAACAATTGAGATTTATTGTGCACATTTGCTTACCCTTGTGTAAATAGTACCGTAGAATTACGAACCCAGTTGTTCCTTTTGATATTCGGGATTGTTGAACCTGCGCGTCACTCAAAGTTCCGTATCGGGAACCTCAACACCCCATAACTGTCTTCTAACCACTAGCGTGGAAGTTCCAGTTTTGGAATCCGTAAACACTGCACGTGTCTAGCAGACCTCAGAAGCAGTTGCTAACCGGACCATCAAGTGGCCATAATATCCCTCGCATACTGGCGACGCCCAACTTGATGTTTTAGGGGTCCTTTACGTATTATAAAAGCCTTGATTCACACACTGGAAATTGAATTGTCGTATGTTGAAAACACGGGCGACGAAAAACAAGATTGACATTTCGTGCATCATGGGATATAAAGCCGTTTGTGCTCCGACCATAAAATAATAGTATATGATTTAATCGAAGAAGATTACTTACAAGGTTGCAGAAAAGACTTGACAGCCCACGACCGATCTCGCACTTCTTGGGGCTCATCGGGTGGGCGAAGACCCCAATTTTCCGTCGTCTTCTTGTTCTACATGAATCCAAAGTGTACCGAATTCGACAAACTTTGGGTTCAAGTGGAACATAAGGTTGACGGAAACTTGGGGTCTGCACCTACCTGATGAGCCCCAAGAAGTATGAAAGTGGTAGTAGCCTGTCGAAGCATTTTTATAAAACTTAATAGTAGCATTCTTCAAGAAAATATACTTCGATATCTCGAATGTCGTGCCAACTGAAACGTGAGGCGGCCTTTATGTGGCACGTCCGATTGAAAAATATCATAAGAGAAAGACTCAGCAAGGATTTAGCTGAGCCTGCCATAAAATCAAATTAGCGTGTAATTGAGTGCATTTGTCGAACATGCTGTTTGACATTGACTAGATGTTTAGTTGACGGATTCGCGGAAGATAGCCCATATGATTTATGATATATATATATATGCATATATACTTATATACATATGTATACATATATATGATATATATATCGCGATATCTCGAATATCGTAGCGACTGAAACAAGAGAGAGCCTGGTGCAGCACATTTGGTCGCCTGGAAACATAAAAACCATGAGATTCAGCTTGGTTTCAGGTGAGTCTCTCGAAAAACCAAATTAGTTTGCAAATGAGTGTATATTCGAAAGATCTATTTTCATGGAACTGAAGTCAACACCACCCCAACGGCATCAGTCTAGACCAATTGATGTACACCGACCGCTAACTGAAACCGGTGCAGCTTAACCACTTATCTTCAGACCAAACCATCTTAGACAGATTTTCAAGAGTCCTTATCGGTTAGCACCTCAACTGAGACACCTGATAGTTAGGTCCATGCATTTTTAGGGCTTCAGTAAGACTAAAGGGATATTTCCCAGATACACCCACACACGCACACACTAATGCAAAAGTGCATGTGCGAGAAGTTGACTCCCGCCACTTTTTGTCAGCTCCAATTTAATGTACCTATTTTTGATGAAACCAATTCCTCATTCGCATCTAGGCTCATTTTGTGCGAAAATTTTCTCTCTTCGGACGTAAAACCTTAAATGAACTTTCTGACGCTTTCAACTCTCGTTCATGACAACGAGACGGCAGTACGCTTTTGGAAAGCCACGGAGTGATCCATCAGCAACGTTTATGCAACAGCGGTCACCAAATGACATTTTCAACTGTTCCTGACAAGTAGAGGTGTAATGTCCGACAGTGTCGACAAGAAATCGGTCTTCGAAAGGCAACTTGGCTAGAGCAGTCTAGAATGGAGTTTGGGACAGTAATTCTGTTCATTTATTGCTGCATCGCTCCCGGCTCAATCATCATCTCCGACATGTGGGTATCATAACAAGGAAGTGAAATGATGATTGACATGAATTATACTCATGAAACGGTTAATCATACCGAAAACTTTGCGGTTCAAACGACTGGTGCTCACACACAAACCATCGAATCTCTTTGGCACGTCTACAAGATGCAGAAAAAACACCAACGCGGCACACACCGAGGTTTGATGGACAGCTACTTGCGTGAGTTCGTTTGGAGGTAAAGGTACGGAAAAACGGATCTTCTCATGCAAATTATTAATCGCATGTCCTAATTTCACCCTCTTCAACGCAAAATAAAAATACAAATTTCATATCCTCTTTATTCTAATCTTTTTTGGGTGGCGGGAGTTAATTTTTTGGCGGGGCTTATCTGGAAAAGATCCGGCTACAGACTACACACTGACCAAAGAGCATGAGTGTTTATCCCCGGGTTTGTTCAGTCATGTGATCAAATGAGAAATGGAACCGAAGAAAGCAGAACTAATGAGCTCATAAATAGGGCCGAATCCATGGTGGGCTATCCCACACTGTCTTCACCAACCACGGGAGCACTGCGTTGACGAGGGCGGTAAACTCCTCAGACCTTTCACCAACCCATGTCCTCTCCCGATTTTCGCCAAATAACCCTTTCTTGTTCACCCGTGACCTTTCAAGACTTCTTATGTATTGTCGCCTGGTTCTTTGCGCATTCATGCCTGTCCACTCGTGACTAACTGCATCTATGCTCACTTCCTAATTGGGCTTCCCATCACAGCTTTTGTTCCTCGTGGTAGCGTGAAAACTGGTGTGTGTCCCTCATTTCTGACCCCATCTGTCTCAACATTGTTGGCCGAACATCCACGTGCCCTCTCTAGGTGTGACTATCAATTTTGTGGGACCCGTCAATTGTCCTTCCTTCCAATATGTGAGCGACGAATTTTTCCGCTTTGTTGTTTGATATGTGTTTCCTGCCGTACCCTAACGATGCGGGAAGTATAGGTTCGTTGTCTGTTTGTATCCCACTCAACAACGAAATACTACACAAAACACCCCAAGTGTTCTGTAGTCTTCTGATCGTTAAGATCGCGCGTACAGATCGGAGGCGCTACACTAATGTCCTGTGAAACAATATGCATTTGACATCTTAAAATTGAATATACGGTTATTTTATTATTAACGTTTTTTGCATCGCACCCAAGAAGACCGAGGACAGCTCGCTGAAATATGGGATGCGGAAAGCCAAGGTGATAAAATTAAAGCTGAAAACTGCAAGAGTGTTGCTCAACCGACTTGAGAAGAACGCTACGTTAGAATACCCCACTTTGGTGATCCTTCATCTGTATTTAAGCTATGTAATAACGTATGCCTTTCCTGGCCTTTTTGAAGAAGATGCGCAGCTACTTCGTTGTATAAAGCGGCAAAGGTGTTTATGATGCAGTTATTGCAAATTATGAAAGCAGGTTTGTTAAACCCTTGCTATGACTTGTGCATGCTTCGACCCATGTTAGCCTATGCTTCTTTTTCTCACCGCAGTTTTTTTATTTCAGGCATTCATAGCAGAGCACTTGGCCGTACCGATATGACCTCTTGCACTGCAAAGTACAAAAGGCTAAAGCAATGATAACAGGTAATATTTTAATGCTTGCGTATGGTTAGCTGTCCCACTGAACTCTGAGTGATTGATCGATTGTCGTATCCATCATTTTAGTCTATCTTCATATTGGAAGTACCGAAAAGACATTCTGAACTACGGTTCAGAACCCATATCGTTCTCTGAAAAATGCAACTGGTAAAAAAGGGGATTTATTCATATTAAACCACCTTAACCCGATGAACAAGAGCGAAGTCCAGACAAACATCCACCTGAGCAGCTGGCACACGCACACTACGCAATACCACCTATTCAGAAACCATCGCACTAACTTATCAGGAAAGCATTCCTGTTCAAAACTAAAAGTACAAACTATCCGAGAGATAACCTTCAAGAAATTTCCTTATTTTGAGTTGTTGTACAGAGGGCTATCATCATTTTAAACCTACTCATGCTCAACATTATTATAATTCAAGTAAAATGAACGTCTGAAGCGAACGCAGGTCCATTTGGGTATTTTTAGCAGAACGAATGATCTTTGATCCTATTTTATTTGTCTCACAATTATGTTATTCTCAATGGTATTGTCCGGAATTCGCGTAACCAGTTATACTGGTAGTCCAAACGAAACCGATTTCCCATCGTGCGAGTTCTCTACCCCACACTTTTACAGAAAATTTGTCTTGCTTCATGATGTGCCTGGCCGGATCAACCATGCACACTTTTCATTTAACGGTGGAATGAACAAGCATTCGTTTGGTGTTTCGTCCATTCCGCTGAGCTTTGCGTCACATTTTCAAGTTTTTTACGGCTGCAATTTGGCAGGTGACCCATTCGTGGTTTCTCCCTTTTCACAAAACAAGCGACGCAAGCAGACAGAATAACACTCATAGTATTTTTATCTAAAAACAGACCAAGTCAACGGAAAATAACGTGATGACCGCTCCTCGAAGCCATTTATTTCCGTTTAACTGGGTTCGTTTATTCATCTATTCACTTACGGCGACAAGCATACTGTCAGCCATCAAATGGTAGAGAAACGGCCATTTTTAATACCCCAAAGTACACGCTCGTCTCACCTGTGAACTATAAACAATAATAAAAATGCGGTGATACTGCAAGCCGGTGCACTGCTCTCTTCAGTTACTACACTTCCTGCAGAGATTTTCATTGGTTCGTACCGCACAAAGACACTTCGACAGATGCACACTGCAAGTGAGAGTTCAAACTAACCTTTCTTCTGGACATGACGTGATACCCCGTGTCTTTTCTTGGGAAAGGTTATTCACCAGGTGAAACCAAATGCCCTTCCTCCAAGCTGTTAGCCCTTTCGGGAGATAGTGAAGTGTGCAGTTGACGAGAAGCATTGTGACAACGAGGTTCTGATTCACCATTTCAAATTCACTGTGACAGCCCAGTCGCTGGTGAAGCAGACTGCACCAACTGCATTAACCTGGAAACCCAATAAACGAATGGGCTATAGAGTAACCATGCCCGTTATCACACAGTGGCATGCACAAACATATCGATCTAATGTTTACCGCTGGCATGCACCTAGATACCCTACCGTCGTGTACTGAACTTGTAAGAAAGAGTGGCAGCAGTAACTAAGCGAACTGTCTGCATTATTTATGCAGAATGTTAAAAAAAAGGGCGGTGGGTGGCAGTCAAATTCTGAGCTCCTGATTTCCATAGGCATTCATCCATATCTGTCGTAGACTTTGAGTACAAGAGCCAGAATACACAAAGGAAACAATGAAATTGCGGTTGATTTGACCGTGGAACTTCGTGATAAACAAACCGTGGTCATCTCTTTTCATAACCAGTATTTTTACTGGAAATTCGGTTAAACAACCCATTTTCGAGCTCTATACTAGGTAACCAAATGCTTTGCGATTCTCCGTAGTCATAACAAGTTGCATTTATACCAGTCAACATGAGTAGACGAAACTGAGGAAGATGGCCATCTGTATGGAACTAACATTGGATTTTTACCAAATAACAAGGCTAGGGACTTCGTTCTCATCAAATGATACAAATAGATTCTGCTTGGTGAGGCTGAAACTAAATAGTCCATGGATATGACAGAAGACTGTCCTGAATATAAAAGGGTCATTCCCACTCCAGCCGATCCCAGGAAACTAGGGGCAATACAAAAAACTTCTAATTTTGTAGGATTCGTACACACATCACTGTTGTTTGAACAGTTCTGCTCTTGCGCATGGCCCCGGTTAGCTTAAACTAGTGGAGGAAGTACGGATGAAAGGAAGGAGGAATTCGTTGCGAAGTTGTTTATTAGGAAACGCCAACTGACCAGTTACAGACCATTGGACAGGGAAGCAAAACTCTCATATGCATCTTATTTACAAAAACTGAACATCGATCTTCTCTTCAACGCGTCTGCCTGAACTTTCCTGAATATTCATTGACTGTTACTCAAATCTAAGCAAATGCTACAAAGCGACTCCACAAGTGCCGCAATAGATTTCGCTTTTCAAGAGACATAAAGCGAATTTACAAGAAGAAAGCATACTACTCGCATACATCCCCATCAGTGGTATCACCGTTACATGGGTAGTGTCTATGGAAACGAACGTAGTGGACAAGGGCCACCATCTTCGAAGTTTCATAGTCAGATGGCTCTGAAACTCATATTTACTCCAAGCACGGATGAATGCCCGAAGCTGAAAGGCTGGAAGTCTGCACTTTATCGGTGATGCCGGCATAGAGAATCTTCGTTTTGGAGTGAATTCTCCTCGATTTGTTCCTGAAATCTCGCTTCAACCTCAGTCAGCCCCAGTTTGGCACTTCTCAATTCGCGATTACAGCTGTAGAAACCCAGCCAGTTCAGAATAACACATGGCCAAAGCAACAGTTTGAGACTACTTACATATATATATCGCGATATCTCGAATATCGTAGCGACTGAAACAAGAGAGAGCCTGGTGCAGCACATTTGGTCGCCTGGAAACATAAAAACCATGAGATTCAGCTTGGTTTCAGGTGAGTCTCTCGAAAAACCAAATTAGTTTGCAAATGAGTGTATATTCGAAAGATCTATTTTCATGGAACTGAAGTCAACACCACCCCAACGGCATCAGTCTAGACCAATTGATGTACACCGACCGCTAACTGAAACCGGTGCAGCTTAACCACTTATCTTCAGACCAAACCATCTTAGACAGATTTTCAAGAGTCCTTATCGGTTAGCACCTCAACTGAGACACCTGATAGTTAGGTCCATGCATTTTTAGGGCTTCAGTAAGACTAAAGGGATATTTCCCAGATACACCCACACACGCACACACTAATGCAAAAGTGCATGTGCGAGAAGTTGACTCACTTTACTTTTTGTCAGCTCCAATTTAATGTACCTATTTTTGATGAAACCAATTCCTCATTCGCATCTAGGCTCATTTTGTGCGATTCTCTCTTCTCTTCGGACGTAAAACCTTAAATGAACTTTCTGACGCTTTCAACTCTCGTTCATGACAACGAGACGGCAGTACGCTTTTGGAAAGCCACGGAGTGATCCATCAGCAACGTTTATGCAACAGCGGTCACCAAATGACATTTTCAACTGTTCCTGACAAGTAGAGGTGTAATGTCCGACAGTGTCGACAAGAAATCGGTCTTCGAAAGGCAACTTGGCTAGAGCAGTCTAGAATGGAGTTTGGGACAGTAATTCTGTTCATTTATTGCTGCATCGCTCCCGGCTCAATCATCATCTCCGACATGTGGGTATCATAACAAGGAAGTGAAATGATGATTGACATGAATTATACTCATGAAACGGTTAATCATACCGAAAACTTTGCGGTTCAAACGACTGGTGCTCACACACAAACCATCGAATCTCTTTGGCACGTCTACAAGATGCAGAAAAAACACCAACGCGGCACACACCGAGGTTTGATGGACAGCTACTTGCGTGAGTTCGTTTGGAGGTAAAGGTACGGAAAAACGGATCTTCTCATGCAAATTATTAATCGCATGTCCTAATTTCACCCTCTTCAACGCAAAATAAAAATACAAATTTCATATCCTCTTTATTCTAATCTTTTTTGGGTGGCGGGAGTTAATTTTTTGGCGGGGCTTATCTGGAAAAGATCCGGCTACAGACTACACACTGACCAAAGAGCATGAGTGTTTATCCCCGGGTTTGTTCAGTCATGTGATCAAATGAGAAATGGAACCGAAGAAAGCAGAACTAATGAGCTCATAAATAGGGCCGAATCCATGGTGGGCTATCCCACACTGTCTTCACCAACCACGGGAGCACTGCGTTGACGAGGGCGGTAAACTCCTCAGACCTTTCACCAACCCATGTCCTCTCCCGATTTTCGCCAAATAACCCTTTCTTGTTCACCCGTGACCTTTCAAGACTTCTTATGTATTGTCGCCTGGTTCTTTGCGCATTCATGCCTGTCCACTCGTGACTAACTGCATCTATGCTCACTTCCTAATTGGGCTTCCCATCACAGCTTTTGTTCCTCGTGGTAGCGTGAAAACTGGTGTGTGTCCCTCATTTCTGACCCCATCTGTCTCAACATTGTTGGCCGAACATCCACGTGCCCTCTCTAGGTGTGACTATCAATTTTGTGGGACCCGTCAATTGTCCTTCCTTCCAATATGTGAGCGACGAATTTTTCCGCTTTGTTGTTTGATATGTGTTTCCTGCCGTACCCTAACGATGCGGGAAGTATAGGTTCGTTGTCTGTTTGTATCCCACTCAACAACGAAATACTACACAAAACACCCCAAGTGTTCTGTAGTCTTCTGATCGTTAAGATCGCGCGTACAGATCGGAGGCGCTACACTAATGTCCTGTGAAACAATATGCATTTGACATCTTAAAATTGAATATACGGTTATTTTATTATTAACGTTTTTTGCATCGCACCCAAGAAGACCGAGGACAGCTCGCTGAAATATGGGATGCGGAAAGCCAAGGTGATAAAATTAAAGCTGAAAACTGCAAGAGTGTTGCTCAACCGACTTGAGAAGAACGCTACGTTAGAATACCCCACTTTGGTGATCCTTCATCTGTATTTAAGCTATGTAATAACGTATGCCTTTCCTGGCCTTTTTGAAGAAGATGCGCAGCTACTTCGTTGTATAAAGCGGCAAAGGTGTTTATGATGCAGTTATTGCAAATTATGAAAGCAGGTTTGTTAAACCCTTGCTATGACTTGTGCATGCTTCGACCCATGTTAGCCTATGCTTCTTTTTCTCACCGCAGTTTTTTTATTTCAGGCATTCATAGCAGAGCACTTGGCCGTACCGATATGACCTCTTGCACTGCAAAGTACAAAAGGCTAAAGCAATGATAACAGGTAATATTTTAATGCTTGCGTATGGTTAGCTGTCCCACTGAACTCTGAGTGATTGATCGATTGTCGTATCCATCATTTTAGTCTATCTTCATATTGGAAGTACCGAAAAGACATTCTGAACTACGGTTCAGAACCCATATCGTTCTCTGAAAAATGCAACTGGTAAAAAAGGGGATTTATTCATATTAAACCACCTTAACCCGATGAACAAGAGCGAAGTCCAGACAAACATCCACCTGAGCAGCTGGCACACGCACACTACGCAATACCACCTATTCAGAAACCATCGCACTAACTTATCAGGAAAGCATTCCTGTTCAAAACTAAAAGTACAAACTATCCGAGAGATAACCTTCAAGAAATTTCCTTATTTTGAGTTGTTGTACAGAGGGCTATCATCATTTTAAACCTACTCATGCTCAACATTATTATAATTCAAGTAAAATGAACGTCTGAAGCGAACGCAGGTCCATTTGGGTATTTTTAGCAGAACGAATGATCTTTGATCCTATTTTATTTGTCTCACAATTATGTTATTCTCAATGGTATTGTCCGGAATTCGCGTAACCAGTTATACTGGTAGTCCAAACGAAACCGATTTCCCATCGTGCGAGTTCTCTACCCCACACTTTTACAGAAAATTTGTCTTGCTTCATGATGTGCCTGGCCGGATCAACCATGCACACTTTTCATTTAACGGTGGAATGAACAAGCATTCGTTTGGTGTTTCGTCCATTCCGCTGAGCTTTGCGTCACATTTTCAAGTTTTTTACGGCTGCAATTTGGCAGGTGACCCATTCGTGGTTTCTCCCTTTTCACAAAACAAGCGACGCAAGCAGACAGAATAACACTCATAGTATTTTTATCTAAAAACAGACCAAGTCAACGGAAAATAACGTGATGACCGCTCCTCGAAGCCATTTATTTCCGTTTAACTGGGTTCGTTTATTCATCTATTCACTTACGGCGACAAGCATACTGTCAGCCATCAAATGGTAGAGAAACGGCCATTTTTAATACCCCAAAGTACACGCTCGTCTCACCTGTGAACTATAAACAATAATAAAAATGCGGTGATACTGCAAGCCGGTGCACTGCTCTCTTCAGTTACTACACTTCCTGTAGAGATTTTCATTGGTTCGTACCGCACTAAGACACTTCGACAGATGCACACTGCAAGTGAGAGTTCAAACTAACCTTTCTTCTGGACATGACGTGATACCCCGTGTCTTTTCTTGGGAAAGGTTATTCACCAGGTGAAACCAAATGCCCTTCCTCCAAGCTGTTAGCCCTTTCGGGAGATAGTGAAGTGTGCAGTTGACGAGAAGCATTGTGACAACGAGGTTCTGATTCACCATTTCAAATTCACTGTGACAGCCCAGTCGCTGGTGAAGCAGACTGCACCAACTGCATTAACCTGGAAACCCAATAAACGAATGGGCTATAGAGTAACCATGCCCGTTATCACACAGTGGCATGCACAAACATATCGATCTAATGTTTACCGCTGGCATGCACCTAGATACCCTACCGTCGTGTACTGAACTTGTAAGAAAGAGTGGCAGCAGTAACTAAGCGAACTGTCTGCATTATTTATGCAGAATGTTAAAAAAAAGGGCGGTGGGTGGCAGTCAAATTCTGAGCTCCTGATTTCCATAGGCATTCATCCATATCTGTCGTAGACTTTGAGTACAAGAGCCAGAATACACAAAGGAAACAATGAAATTGCGGTTGATTTGACCGTGGAACTTCGTGATAAACAAACCGTGGTCATCTCTTTTCATAACCAGTATTTTTACTGGAAATTCGGTTAAACAACCCATTTTCGAGCTCTATACTAGGTAACCAAATGCTTTGCGATTCTCCGTAGTCATAACAAGTTGCATTTATACCAGTCAACATGAGTAGACGAAACTGAGGAAGATGGCCATCTGTATGGAACTAACATTGGATTTTTACCAAATAACAAGGCTAGGGACTTCGTTCTCATCAAATGATACAAATAGATTCTGCTTGGTGAGGCTGAAACTAAATAGTCCATGGATATGACAGAAGACTGTCCTGAATATAAAAGGGTCATTCCCACTCCAGCCGATCCCAGGAAACTAGGGGCAATACAAAAAACTTCTAATTTTGTAGGATTCGTACACACATCACTGTTGTTTGAACAGTTCTGCTCTTGCGCATGGCCCCGGTTAGCTTAAACTAGTGGAGGAAGTACGGATGAAAGGAAGGAGGAATTCGTTGCGAAGTTGTTTATTAGGAAACGCCAACTGACCAGTTACAGACCATTGGACAGGGAAGCAAAACTCTCATATGCATCTTATTTACAAAAACTGAACATCGATCTTCTCTTCAACGCGTCTGCCTGAACTTTCCTGAATATTCATTGACTGTTACTCAAATCTAAGCAAATGCTACAAAGCGACTCCACAAGTGCCGCAATAGATTTCGCTTTTCAAGAGACATAAAGCGAATTTACAAGAAGAAAGCATACTACTCGCATACATCCCCATCAGTGGTATCACCGTTACATGGGTAGTGTCTATGGAAACGAACGTAGTGGACAAGGGCCACCATCTTCGAAGTTTCATAGTCAGATGGCTCTGAAACTCATATTTACTCCAAGCACGGATGAATGCCCGAAGCTGAAAGGCTGGAAGTCTGCACTTTATCGGTGATGCCGGCATAGAGAATCTTCGTTTTGGAGTGAATTCTCCTCGATTTGTTCCTGAAATCTCGCTTCAACCTCAGTCAGCCCCAGTTTGGCACTTCTCAATTCGCGATTACAGCTGTAGAAACCCAGCCAGTTCAGAATAACACATGGCCAAAGCAACAGTTTGAGACTACTTACGTTAAGACCAGAAAGTCAGCGAAAACACTTCTAAGGAACAGCGCAATTCATTAGTTCGATTGTATGAATTATATGCAATAGCACGGAGGATACTTTTGTGGAACAAACTGCATAAACATTTTCATTGTGTGAATTTTAATCGGTAAACTTCTTTTGGTGACCGAAATAAAAATAGACTCGAGTGGAATTGGCTAAGAAACGATTCTTCATCAAAAATCCCTTCGAATACCGGTAGTATAATAAATTTGCTGCACAATAT